CGCCGACGGCCCTACCCTGTGTCAGCCCCGAAGCGTGCTATTATACAGCGAGAAGTCGATAAAATGCGTCATAAGGGCATAATCGAATCCTCATCTAGTCCCTGGTCCTCACCCGTTGTACTTGTTAAAAATAAGGACAATAGCTGAAGATTCTGTGCTGATTACCGCCATCTCAACCATATTACCAAGAAAGATGTCTATCACATACCGCGCATAGATGATGCACTCGATTGCTTACACGGTGCCAAATATTTCTCTTCAATAGATCTTCGCTCAGGGTACTGGCAGATCGCTGTGGACGACAAAGACAGAGAAAAGACGGGGTTCGTTACTCCTGATGGACTTTATCAGTTCAAGATGATGCCTTTTGGATTATGCAATGCCCCCGCGACTTTTGAGCGCATGATGGACTCTCTCCTTCGAGGCATGAAGTGGACCATCTGCCTCTGCTATCTTGACGACGTTATTGTTTTTTTGACTACTTTAGACGATCATCTTACCCGTCTGTCCACAGTGCTTGATGTTTTCCGACGTGCCAACTTGCAGCCTAACTCGTCCAAATGTCGCTTTGGGCAACGCCAAATCTGCGTTCTTAGCCATCTTGTTGACACTGCGGGCGTTCAACCAGACCATGCGAAAGTCCGAGCAGTTCGCGACTTCCCCACACCCCGCTCAGCCAAGGACTTCCGAAGTTTTCGAGGATTGTGCTCCTATTTCCGTCGTTTTGTCGAGAAGTTTGTTGAAGTAGCCCGTCCTCTAACCAGCTTCCACGAAACGGATGTCGCATTCACCTAAGGCCAACAGCAATCAAACGCCTTCTCGTCGCTCGTTGAGATTCTCACCAATCCACCAGTCCTAGCACACTTCGACCCATCTGCCGCCACGGAGCTTCGTACTGACGCCAGTGGCCATGGCATAGGCACAGTGCTGGCGCAGCGGCAACAAGGAATGCACCACGTCGTCGCGTACGCAAGTCGACTGTTGTCACGCTCGGAACAAAATTATTCGATCACAGAACGCAAGTGCTTAGCTCTCGTCTGGGCAATTGCGAAATTCCGACCATACCTTTATGGCCGACTATTCTCAGTTATTACGGACCACCATGCGCTTTGCTGGCTCTCCTCACTCAAGGACCCTACGAGACGCCTTCGCCGCTGGTTGCTGCGCTTACAAGAGTACACTTTTTTCCGTATCCTATAAATCCGGACAACTTCACAAGGGTGCCGACTGCTTGTCCCGTTATCCAGTCGATCCTCCTGACATGATGGAAGAGGGACAAGAGGTCCTCGTTCTTTCAATTACCGACTTCACCAACATAGCTGCTGAACAACGCCGCGACCCCTCTTTGCGTGCTATTATCAATGGTCTGCACTCCCCCCACCCTGACCACTCCTTACAACTGTTCGTTCTTCACAACGACATTTTGCACCGCTACAACGCGCGCCCACATGGTGCTAAGCTTTTACTCGTTGTTCCTGCGCATCTTCGCTCAGACGTTTTGGCTCAGCTCCATGATGCCCCCTCCGCTGGACACCTAGGGGTGTCACGCACGTATGACCGCGTTCACCGCCGATTCTTTTGGCCTGGCCTCTACCGTTCTGTGCGACAGTAGGTTGCACATGCGACCTCTGCCAGCGCCGCAAGACACCTGCTCTGGGACCTGCTGGTACTCCAGCCCATTGAAGTACCAGATGAGCAATTTTTCCGAGTCGGCCTCGATCTTCTAGGACCTTTTCCCGTGTCGGCCACCGGTAATAAATGGATTGCTATTGCTACCGACTACGCAACGCGGTATGCCGTTACACGCACCCTCCCCACCAGCTGCGCTACTGATGTAGCCGATTTCCTTCTTCATGACATCATTCTGCGTCATGGTGGTCCTCGTCAGTTGATCACTGACCGCGGCCGCTGTTTTCTATCAAAAGTAGTCGACAAGCTCCTGCGATCCTGCTCTACCCACCACAAGTTCACTACAGCGTACCACCCACAAACCAACGGCCTCACGAACGCCTCAACCATATCCTGACGTATATGTTAGCGATGTACGTCTCCAAGGATCACAAAGATTGGGACATCCACTTACCTTTCGTTACCTTCGCATACAACAGTTTACGTCACGATACAGCTGGATTTTCACCTTTTTACCTACTGTTTGGTTATGACCCACCTTCGCCCATGGACACCATGCTCCGATCTGACGCCCCCTCATCGACTGCTTATGCTCGTGATGCCCTGGCCCGAGCTGACATCGCCCACCAAGTCGCCCGGGATCGGTTATGTGCCTCGCAGCTTAACTAAAAGAGTGCTTACGTTCGCCGGTACCGCGACTTAAAGTACTCTCCGGGGTCACTCGTCTTGCTGTGGTTACCATCGCGTCATGTTGGTCTCTGCGAAAAACTGATGTCCCGTTACGTTGGCCCCTACCACGTCATACGCAAGGTCACCAGCGTGACCTATGAGATAGCTCCACTCCATACCACGTCAGTACCAGCTTCAGTCCCGACCGATATAGTGCACGTCTCACGGCTTAAAACATAGTACTCACGCCCCGAGAATTGATCGCACCGGGGCGGTGCTTCTGCCGTCGGCTGGTAATGTCACGGGCTAAGTAGATGCCTGAAGATGACGACGACGAAGTGCTATGCGGAACGTGCTTCGACTGCAGCAGCGCTGTACGCATTTGCTCGCCAGTATATTCATTGTGTATACTTTATTCCCCGCAACAATATTTACCTCTTAAGTAGTAAGTTATGTTGAATAATATGACGACCCATCATGAAATCACACCATAGATTTTTTCATTGATGCATTCTCAAATGTATACGTTTATCAGCAGGAACCGGTGTTAAATTGCCCTGTTTTTTACTTGCTTCTTGTATTTCGCACAAACGCGTCATTGCATTGAAGGTGATTTACTGTAGTTTTCAAACAGCTAGCGCCTGTTTAAATTGACGCGCCCACATTATGTTGTCAGTAGTGTAATTGCGTACGTGGAGACTCTAAACGCAAACTTTTGATGCACAAGTATTTGGAAATAAATAGCATATACTTCCAGCTTTTGTATACAATCACTAATGACATGAGGTTCCTTATTCTTTTCAGCTCCACCCCAGCAGTGGAACACAATAGGGGTGTCAGGTCGTACTGTCCTCCAACCTGTAGGCACCCTAAAACTAATGTTCTTAGAGAGAGACTAATGTAAGGTGGCGTGGGCGAAATGTCGCAGAGTTTTAGCTTGTCAAATGAAGTCCACGAAACTTGACAGCATTTTGCAAATAAATTGGAATCTCCACACTTTAACCAGCCTAATACCCCCAACGCCTATTGCTTATGTGTTTCTTGCACTTCAAAAATGTTTCGCACCCTTTGTGGAGTCTTTTTGCTCTTCATGATTAACAGTTCTCTGGCGAGATTGCGTGCTCTTTCGTGATAACTCGGCACTCGCGGCTTTCCTACCCCAAGTGTTTTTATGCTAACAGAACGCTGCAATTTATCACTTGCATGCACCGCGCGCCCGGTGATAATAAATTTACATGAGCTATCGGAGAGAAGTAGTGCGCTTTACAAGAAGATACATGAACACTCCCTTGTTGCTCATGGATGTATTTCTGGAATTGCTGCAATTTTCCCGTATTCTGTCTGCGAAAACGAGGGTGTGAAGCTTTATAAAAGCGCTAACATTTCATATAAAGCAAAGACAAAAGATACCGCAAGCGAGATGGCTAGTACGAATGCTTAAAGCATTCGGCCTGGCGCACGCCGCTCACTTTTCGAAAGGCCGTAGGCTATGCAAGAGCAAAGTAAGTGACTCCAGGTTCGAAAAGAGAGAGTGGAGAGGAAACCAAGGAGGAACAAGAGCGGCGGAGAAGAGTGTTGCTTTTTTGCCAAATTCTAGTAACACAGCGCCTCAAGAATCCCATTCACCAATTTTCTCGCGCAAAACATCAAATAAACGTTTTACGCCCTCTCTCCGGACGGAATATTATCGCCTTTCGACGACGTTTGCAGTCAAACATGCAGATACGGGTTCATTTTTTTTTTCATCAAGAAACTCACTAGCAGACGCTGCCTGCGCCGGCGTTTGGAGACGAGAGAGGAGGGAACGTAGAGAGAGAGGGGGAGGGTACGCGCAAGCACAATGGGGGTGTAAACTTCGCGAGGAGGAAAGTCTACAGGAGAGAGAGTGGGGAGCGAGCGCAGGTTAGCAGACACTCTCTGCATGGACATTGCCAGGTGAGAGAGGGATGACGTGGGAGATGAGAGAAATGGAGCGTACGCGCATGCGCAGAAGGGGGGGTCACAACGCACACCGAATTGAGGTGTAGCCTAAGCTGCTTCGCGTCTATGGAAAGATTACCTGCTTCAGCTGGCACTTTGGCTTCTGAATCACTGAGTGCCACTATGGCGTGGCGATGTTTTCAGCATTCACCTATGTAATTATGCTACGCTATCACAATATTAACGCAAACATGAGGGAACCTGAGCAAGTAGAAGCAAACTTAGTCACTACTAAAATCGATACGTCAAGCTCAAGACAGACACTAATGCACGTAACCACTCACATTATAAAATAAAGCCGCGCGTGGGATAGATTAACCGTGAATTAAGTTTTGGTCTGAAGCTAGCATGCCGGCAAATGTGGCTATGCAAAAAAGTGATTTTCTCTCACCAGGCGAGAACCTCACCGACATCAGCCGAACGCACCATATTTGGATACTACCGCAGATAAAATTTAAGATATCCAGAAATTATGCAAGTAAGGCATGCATTTATTTATTTTAGGCAGACAACTGTGTATATTTACTAAGTTTAAAGACAAGGGTCATCCTGCGCGTATGCTGTCATTGCTTGTTCGCAGCCGTACGCAAGTTCCTAACATTTACCAAAATTAGCGGACGCGAGTATCTTGTGCGGAAGTGTTCAACATGTTTCAACAATTTTTTAACGAACTTGTCTTTCAAACAGCGTAAAATAAAATAGTGACAGTCCTGCGTACTCACTCAGTGCAGCGAATAAAAACTGCCGCTACAATGAAGCACATCAGGGTCTTGTTCATCTTGCTGCGCAAATGTACTTCCCCTAAAGAGGCTATAATGTCAGAACTTCGAAGAGACTCAGCATGTGAAACACGAACGTCTGCCATTTATATACCACGTTGGACCGGTTGTGTCGAAAGCAGTCTTTTCGCGCGCCACCACATATCTATTCTTTCACTGTTGTTCTTCCATCGTCGTGGCAGGAGAAGGAAGTGATTAAAACCTTTCTACGGGCGTCGATTGCATCATTCGCCAAGCCCAGGCTTTCAGGCGTTAACATTCAAGGGCAACACCTTCGCTTGTCGGTCGTCAATGCACGTACAGAGATGGTGCGCAACACGATAAAGATCTTTAAGAAATGTCATCATTGCATGAAGATTGCGGCTGCTAGACTGAATATCCACCCTATCGCAGTGATATTTTTTCGCCAAGTCGGCCGCTTGCAATATAATGACGCGACATAGATCTGGCCTTTAATTGCAGGGCGAGCACACTCCAAGCGAACAACTGGCTATCGCGAAACAAATCCACATTCCATCCGCAGAGGTAACCAATAAAGTTAGACGTGGCAAAATGATGTTCTACAGCAGAACGGAAATGACCGATACTATTAACAAGCTGGGTGGGGGGTTGGCACGCACAGAAAGTTCTTTGTCAAGCAAGTCGATATATACTTATCACCACTAGAGCGTCTTTCTTCGATAAAATGTTGCCCCGTTCACAAACAAAACAAAACGCGCTGACAACATTTACCCGGCGGAAGCACCGAAGCCTGCGGGCAGCACAATCTGAAGAAAAATAAATGCGCGCGACTGTTACTTTTTATTTTACGAATACGTTAATCAGTACAGCGTCGTTCCTGTCATAGAGTTTCTCACAATTATACCTAGAGGGAAGTGTGGCGCCGCCGTCTATGCTAATTTCTTAAGGAGCGATGTTGGAGCGCTGGGAATGACAGTCACTGTATTCCAATACTCACCGTAGACGGCTAAATAGACAGCTATATGGACGGCGGCCATCTTAAGTCCCATTCCAATTCGCCTGTAACCGGCAAAGAGACAGCTCCGGGAAGACCGCATCGTAGACAAATACGATGCAGACTACTTTGCTGTCTAAACAAGATGGCGGCTCAACGAATCGTTTCGATAAATCAAATCTCGCTAGAATGACCGTCTGCACACAATCAGACGCTTTCCCAGACGCTCAATGTGAGTAATGTTTATTTGTTTTTGATTTTAACACGAAACAAGCCAGAAATTACAACTGTTACGTTTGTTTCTTTTAGCTTTTTCTTCTCGACGCTAGGTAGCGCATCGTCGCGTAAAAGCTGTCTAAACGTGTTCCCATTCTCGGACAGCATGGGCTCGGTGCGGTCTTCTAAGCAGTCTTCGTAGACTGTCTACGTGCTGCCTAAGAATTGGAACACAGCCTATATGTTTCTTCGCAGCTTGTGTTGGCTTGTGTTTGCCTGCAGCCTGGAAAAAAATACCATCGCGGAAGCTATGCAAGCATCCAAATGTAAATTACCATTTTCGTCTAAAATAACACAGTTCGACATCGAACTGGAAAGATTACGAAGGCGTGCTGAACGACGATACAGACACACAAGGTCAATTTACGACCTGAGGGAAGCAAGACGGCTTCAGAAAAAGATTCAACGACGCATTTACAAGCTAGAGAGTGAACGCGGGAAAGCATTCTGCGAATCTCTAGGTCCTCATAAACCACTGTCATATATCTGGAGAACAGTTCATGGTCTTCGCTCCTCTCCGCAACAACGGCACCCTTTTAAAGGTTTGGCACTCCATCATGGAAAAACAGAACTCGAGGTGCCTGAAGAATTTTCCACGAGAGTTGCCGGGAATATTATGAACGAGAGCATCAACGCCGTGATCGTTCCTGAGACACGATCACCACAAATGTAAATTCCATTCACCATGGAAGAACAGGAAGGTGCGTTAGTCGCTTCTAAGTGCACATCATCGCCAGGCCCTGATGGTATTACTTATATTGCGTTGGGACATCTTGGACCAAAAGCCAGAACAGAACTTTTAACATGCTTTAACAACTCCTGGTTTAGCGGCAGTGTTCTCCGAAAATGTAAAATAAGTCGATTAATGCCACTTCTGAAATCGGGAAAATCGCCAATGGACTTGACAGCGTATCGCCCTATTGCCCTCGCAAGCTGCCTTGGAAAAGTGATGGAAAGAATGGTTCTGTTTCGTCTCGAGTGGTACTTAGAACGATACACCAAATACCCTTCCTGCATGGCAGGCTTTCGTCGGGGCCGCTCCTCCATCGACTGTGTCTTTGACTTATCGACATTTGTTCAGCAAGAAGAAAGTCTTAAGCGTATATCAGTTGCACCCTTTCTTGACGTGAAGGGTGCATATGATAATGTAGCTCACGATGCCATCCTCACTTCTCTCGCAGCAATGGGCATTGGTGGACGAATGCTTCAATGCATAAAAGATTATATAACTGGCAGGGGCTTCTTTGTGCAAACAGATGAGAGTAAAACTGCTGAACATTACACCTACTGCGGAGTACCTCAGGGAGGTGATTTAAGCCCCACATTGTTCAATGTTGCCCTCATTGGTCTGGTGAAAGTTCTGCCAAAGTCGGTGTGCCTATCCATATACGCCGATGATATTTGCCTCTGGAGTGCTGCAGTCACTCGCCCTCAGGTGCGTGCACGAATACAGCGGGCAGCAACCCTCACAACAGCCTACCTTCAGAAACAAGGCTTAACTATATCAACTGTTAAGTGCGCATTGATGGCGTTTACACACAAACCAATGACATCATACCCTGTTTACATCAATGGGCAGAGTGTCAAATATGCACGGACGCATCATTTTCTGGGCATAACAATCGACAGAAGTCTTTCATGGAGCCCGCATTGTGCGTACTTGAAGAAGAGAGTGCTGTCTATTCTGCATATAATGAAATTCTTGTGCGGGAAAGCATAGGGAACTTCTGTGGCCTCCATGCTACAGCTGCACAGGGCCCTATTTCTGGGTTTTTGCGCTACAGCTTGCCGGTACTGACTAACACTTGCAAATCCAATACTCATTCATTGGAGAGTTTGCGGGGTCAGACGCTGCGTATCTGCCTAGGACTGCCCCGACGCGCTTCTGCTTATGCCACAATCGTGCTTGCCAAAGACCATCCGGTCAGGGCATATAGAGTTGTAGATTGTCTCAGAGCACACATTCGACATGCTAGCCGTGTCCCCGATCACCACTTGGCCCTTCTACTCTCCGGAAGACCACTTGCTACGTTTTCAGACGTCATAGCCAAGCACCTACACAACATTCCATCAGGATATACGCCAGCAGTGCCTCGACCAGCCGCAAGTACGTCTATAAATTCCGGGTATCAAAAAGAAAAGCAATCGCTCCAGAGTAGCATTGAAGCAAGCAACACTGCTATTATTACATGAGTTGTACTTGGACCGAACGCAGATATACACCGATGGGTCCGTCTCGTCCAGCAGCTCTTCAGGTGCCGCTGTAATTCCGGCTGCAGCAATGACAATCAAATTTAAGTTGCCGCATATAACTACATCTACGTCATCAGAGCTTTCTGCTATAACGGCTGCTTTGCAATATCTCGTTCAAGAGCGTTCAAGAAAATGGGTCATATTCTGTCATTCGAAGGCAGCGCTTCAGAGTTTGCAGTCTGCCACGCGTAGGAGGAATCATGAACAATCGGTACATGAAATAAGACATTGCCATCATGAAGCTCTAGCCTGAGGGCATGATATTATATATCAATGGCTGCCTGGACATATCGGTATTACCGGAAATCAATTAGCCGATGATGCAGCCCGCTCAGCCCATGAAGGAACCCGTGTGGTCCCGATTCATGTATCAAGGAATGATGCAGCAAGACAACTTTACCTCAGCTGGCTCGAGACCTTACACGCACGTTCTGGTCGTCTACCAGCTTCCAAAGGTGTCAATTATATGAACTGGATCCTTCGCTCAAGATAAAGCTGCCATCACAACTTTCCCGCTCCGATGCGACACTGTTATGCCGCCTCCGGTTGGGTGTTGCATTCACAAAGGCGTACTTCTTTCGCATTGGTATGGCAGACACCTCTACATGCGACAACTGTGTAGTTGAAGAGACCATTGAACACGTCCTGTGCAGCTGCGCTTGCTACGACACACAGCGATGCCAGCTCCGGATAGTTTTGAATCAACGTGACTCCAGACAATTTTATGTGCAGAATATCCTAGGACATTGGGCACCTGCCTCAGCTGCGCAGAAAGCGACTAAAGCACTCCTACTTTAAAGTCAACAAACCTGAGCGACCGCCTGTAGACTGTGTGTGCTCCCCCGAGTGTGCTCATGATTGTCTGTACCTTCTTATCTCCCTGCAACCTCTTTTCTCCCCTTCGTTCCTTCCCCAGTGCAGGGTAGCAAACCAGATGTGCGTCTGGTTAACCTCTTTGCTTTTCCTTGCATCTTTATCTCTCTCTGTGTGTGTGTGTGTGTGTCGGCTGGTGTTCAGCGAGGCTTCGGCTCAAAAGCGAATACGATTGCGTAAATAAAGGTTTACTAAAACAAAACGTTTACAGACAGATCTCATTCACGCGTATTACACTCTAAAATAAAAGTACACTTACCTTGACGCCACAACCAAAGGAGGAAAGAAAGAAACAGACGGCATAAAAGTGGCGGAGGGAACGCTTGCTTGTCGTCTGCCTGCCGAGTTTACTGGCAGGCAGACGACGCTGGTTACTTCTTACGATTCATAAAATTTTACATCAACGTAGAAGGTTCTAGTGTTAAACACAACATGTTTTTGTGCAATGACAAAAATGAGTAGCTTATTACGCGAGTTTTTAATAAGAAATCAGTCGTGTTAACGTGAAGCCAGACGCGACTTTGAGGTATACAAATCCAAGTCAAGTTCGAAGCTCACGCATCCCGTAATTCGAATCCTTGCATCTAGCAGCTCACTAGCGCCAAATTTCTCTCTAGGTATGATTTTGTGAAACTCTATGGTTCCCGTTATCCAAAGTTGCAGGTTCGGTCACTGTCGGCGAGAAGTTGTCTTTTCTTTCACCGCACTTCTTTTTACATCTATATCATAATTAAAA